CTGTATGAATAGGTTTGGGATAGTATTTGGTGGGGGCGGCGATATTGAATAGTGTTAATGAATATGATGTCTAAAGCGGATATAGTAATAGGAATTAAAGGCCATACTTTTTGTTTCTCCGACAGAAAATTAAACCAAGTTTGGCAATTTTGAATATACTTAATTTTAAATTTTGCGCCGCCTCCGAAAAAGGTACATTGCATTTAATATGATGTATTTAATAATTTAACCAAATTCATCAAACGATGATGAATAACAATACAGTTTAAATAGAAATTATTTCACACTTTTCACTGCATTTTCCCACACTTTTGAGCAATTATATCTAGAGCTAGTGTGTATTCATATAAATTAACTAGAAATTATTTCATACTTTTCACTGTACCTTTTTCGAAGTCAGTTAAATTTTTTTCCAAAAAATTATTTTATTTCACTCTTTTTAGTGGCAATCTATAACCAATAGGTTTCATGCAATAACAACAGTTATGAGCAATATACAGGATGACCCAAAAACGTTGGAGGTCCTTGAAAAGACTTGTTCCGCAGGGGTGGAGGGGTTGAAACAATTTTTCCTTAGCGAAAATGTTGTTCGAGGCTTCGTTAAGGAGATATTCCAGAAACAAAAACTCCCGACCAATCAGAGCGCGAGTATGCCGGAGAAGCGCCTGCTTGGCCTGTACTACCGCAGGCGCTCCCCCGACATACTCGCGCTCTGATTAGTCGGGGGTTTTTGTCAATATCTCCTTAAAGAAGCCTCGAACAACATTTTCGTTAAGAAAAAATTGTTTCAAATCACCCCCCCCCCCCCCACGAAACACCCATTCAAAGACATCCAAAATTTTTTGGAAACCCTGTATAATTGCAAATGGGATTATCAGGAATACATATGCAAATACATGTGAAAGGATTGATTACGTTTGGTAAATTCCTTGTCGAGCTACACCAGAGCATAGCAATTTTGCACCAACAATAATTTGAAACAATGAAAGTGTCCATAAATTTTTGCAAATGGGAACATCACGAATTCATCTATTATGAAATGCGGAAGGTTCCATCGCGCTCGGTAATTTCCTCACCGAGTTACATCATATAATAGGAATTTTGCGATAACAATAGTTATAAACAATACAGAAATTCATAAATTTTTGCATCTGTGATCATTGCGAAAACCTCTCCGGCAGCAAAATGTAAGGGGTTTCATCGATTTCGTCGGTTTCAGGCCAAATATACGTGAAATAGTACGCTTTTTGCGATAAAAAGTGATATAAAGTGGTAAAAAATAAGACAAGGACAAATGTTTTATTATGGGACCAAATGCCATGGTCTCGGAGTAAGAAGCAAGACAAAATGTTTCTGTTTCAAAAAAAAAACGGATAAAAAATGGCAAATTACAAAATGTTTCTTTTACGCGACCAACTGGAAGAAATATTCGACAAGATGCAAGAGGTTTCACTCCGATCCGTTTCAAGCCATCTCGACGTAATCGGTGAACAGGCATAAAAAACAAAAAATGTCGAATTGAGTAACCTCCTCCTTTTCGAAGTTGGTTAAAAATGGGAGACAGCTGGTTTGAATATGGTAAGGCAGTTTCAAACGCTATGACCATTTTTACTACAGAAATAGTGGGAATATGGAAAGCAATGGATATACATAGAAGAATCGGAGAAAATAAAAATTGCCTAATCCTAACCAACTCGGCATCAGCTATCAAAGCGCTGGAAAGCTACCTAACAAATAACAATTGGAAGGAAAATAACCCATGAACGATCCACACCGGAAATATGTTAAAAGAAAGACAAAACTTAACGATCATTGAATGGATTCCCGACCACAAAGGAATCGTAGGAAACGAAGCAGCAGACTCTAGAGCCAAGAAAGAAACGGATAATATACCAAACACAAAATTCAAAGTTTCGGCGTCGGACATTATAATGGAGATAAAGGAACAATGCTGGAGCAGCTTCAAGGATAGAATAAGTTCGATAGGAAATAAGGGAATAAAGTTCTTTAGAGAAATCGGGCCCGAGTTACACAGGAAAAACTATAAACCATGGTTTCACAAGTGGAGACACAATCTAGATAGAGAAAAGATAAGAGTAATATCAAGGATCCGAGCGAACCACTTTAATTTAAGAGAATCACTAGCCAGAAAGAACTTTATAAGCTGTGGCAAGTGCGATTGCGACCAAGCGGACGAAGACATCGACCATGTAATATTTGATTGCGGCTTGTACAATCAAGAGAGAAGCTTAATAAGGGAAAAATTGGAAAAGGAAATAGAATTAGTTAGGAAAATCGGTGATAGAGTTAATAAAACTCAATAAAGTCAAAATTATGAAGACCATACTCAGATAGCACCGGACGTCCCATGGACGTCCATTTTATGTCCAGTTTACGTCCAAACGTCCGACGTCCGGCCGGAACGTCCTGCGAACGTCCATGGGACCTAAATTCTGTACGTCCCAGGGACGTCCGCCCGGAACGTCCTACGAACGTCCATGGGATCTAAATTTTGTACGTCCCAGGAATGACCGCTCTGAACTTTCTAGATTTAGGGGAAAATACTTTTTTTTAAACAAAATAAATATTATTTATTAATATTCTTTATAATATAATATTTATTCAATATGTAGAACAGAATATTTTTTTCCGAATATAAAATACACTATTTACAATTGTAAATTACTATCAAATAATTAATTAATTAATATTATTATCCCAGATAGCACCGGACGTCCCATGGACGTACAGAAAACGTTCTGGGAATGTCCAACACCGGATGTCCCATGGACGTACAGAGAACGTACAGAAAGCATTCTGGGAATGCCCAGCACTGGACGTTCCATGGACGTACATAAGACGTTCCTGTTCCTGTGCTATCTGGGTATACAGTCATTATTTAATATTCGCAACAGAATATTTTTTTCCGTAGATAAAACACATATTTATCTAATATTCGCAACAGAATATATGTTTACACATGTAAAACAAAATGTTTATTCAATATTAGGAATACAATATTTTTTGTACATATGAGATGTGATATGTATGTAATATTTGGAACTAATCAGAATTACCTAGTAAATTAATTCTTCTAACTTTTCAAAAAAAAGTTCAAGTCATTTAGACCAATTTCAAAAGAAGCAATTGTATTTTAAAAAGTATCCGAATATTAATACGAGTCACTATAAGCCTAAAATATAAGTCGGTTTAGGAAAGTCGTTTATGGGTAAGTGAGGAAGGAAGCAGGTTACGGTTGTAGTTCGAAAATCATCAGTTCGAATCCCGTCGGAGGTAAATAAAAATTGAAAGATTTTGTTCGTCGTTTTCATGGAATCCAGTTACAAGAAATAAATACAGTTAACTAAAATCTACCAACAAATAAAAGAAAACATATAAAATTAAAATTTAATTTTTTTAAAATCTCAATTTTAGAGAACGTTCTGGGAATGTCCACGCCGGACGTCCCAGGGACGTCCTGCGATGTAACTGGGACGTTCAGGGACGTTCACAGGATGTTCACAGGACGTTCAGGGGACGTTTGGACGTTATCTGGACGTCCATAGGACGTCCCGAACGTCCAGTACCGGACGTTTTATGGACGTACATAAGACGTCCCTGTGCTATCTGGGTAGTTAAGTTTTTAAATTCTATTCATGAAAGAATATAACAATAGGAAAAATGCCAAAATAGTACTTAAAATTAAATAACCGGGATACATGTGCAGGGTATTTACAGGTTATGCAGAAGTTCCAAAGTAGGAAGAAACAAATGGTACAAACGACGTAAGCAAAGAGAGATACTATAGAGTTAACTAAACGGCTGTTAAAAAAAAAAAATTCGATAGGAAAATAACAATAAATTAAGATACTTTTATTTTATTTTATTGTATTTATATTATATTGTTGATAAGTGTTTATATTTTGTATTTTACAATAGTAGAATAGAGTAATAGAAGTCCAAAAGTCTGAAATATATGTATAAGAACACACAGAAGTATTAAATAAAAAGACTGAGACAAGGGAATAGAACAAAGTTAAGTCAATTGATAGTAAATCCTTAGCCTATTTACAAAAAAAAAAAGATTGGTGCGTCAAATTAGGAAAAGCTAGTACAAAATAATGTGATAATCAACAATAAGTATATATATCCAAACGATGCTCAAAAATATAGATCGTAAGTTTAATATACATAGCCGTAGAATAAGGAAAGTACAAGTAGGTTTAGTTACAATTAATATGTAATTCTTAACATAAAATATCTTGTAAACTAGTTACAAGGAAACGCCTATATTGTGATTATAGTTGTAAGACAGTGCAATGTAGAGGATATCTACACACTTATCTACACACTAAAATAAAAAAATAAAATATGCTCTAAGGCGCTATCTACTACAAAGATTCCAAGTTTATTGGAAAATATTTCTTTTTACCAACATTAGATAACTCAACTGGATTATTTGAAACTTCAGCATGTTATACATAGATAGCGGTAGTCAAGGTTTCTAAAATAATGGATATTCGTGGCACCTCTACTTGTAAACTTACGGACCACATTTTGATTCAATAAATACAATGCTACAATGCAACATCCTCAAACATCATGTTCTGATACGAAAAAAAAACAAATTTTGCAAAGATGCTCGAATAAGTATCTGGAAAACACACCGATTGAATAGGAATAATACCGAATATAATATAATACCAAACCAAGTCAAGTCAAAAAGTTTTAATTTTTGAAAACATATCAGGAGGACATGCAGATATTTTTTAAATGAAACGGAAAGTTTGCTAAATTGCCATTGTTTGGTAAATTCTTATTTACAATACAAGACGATCTGTTTGTGTACCAAATCTATATCATACTCGTAGATGAAGTTACAATATTATCAGATCACGTTGTATCAACTACATCTTTATATGATTTTACGACAAATAGATTTTTTCGACCTTTTTATTCAAATAGCTGTATTTTAGTAGGAAAGAGATAAAATTGCATGATTTCAGTCAATTTATTTTATTAAAAATGGTACATTTACAAAATGGTATATCAATATACATATATATATTTACAATTGTTTCTTCTTAAAAATTAACCTGCTTTATATAAAATATGTTATTGTTCGTAGTTCCTAATGTTTGGAAAGCAAACACCTTAAGAAATCAAGAGAACATTCTGTTCTTCTATATTTATCAGTTTGTATAAACTACCTCAATCAAACCAGGAGGAGGGATTACATAAGTAAAAACCATTAAATAATTTCATAAATTTCGTCATTAGTAATACGCGAAATTTTATGTATTACTACGTTTGATATAACGCATCAAAACGTGTATTGTAAACATTAGTGTCAGTTTTCTTTTTTCTTTTTTCTTAATTTCATACGCCACCATCTACGAGTGGCTTACTATACTTGTCTCGTTTAGCATTATGATAAAGATACGAATGTACACGTAAGCTATTACTATTCTTGTATTTATTACCACAAAGCTTACACGTTAGACTTTCAAGCGGTCCGTGAATATAACGAACATGCAGTTTGAGATTCTCCTTACGCGTAAAGTGACGAAGACACCATGGACACGAATACATTCGAATTACTTTGCCTCTTTCCATACGGAGCGTTGGTCCCAGCTCGGATACAACACGCAGAGTTGTTTCCAAAGGTAGAGTATTATTGGAGATACCTTTAATAGTTCGTCGACCTTTCCCATGACAACCACTTTCATACATAAATTCACCTTGAAGACTAGTCATATTGTTCAAACCTAATAAATCAAAATAATATAGCGTACTGAACAAAGTTCGTAGCTGAGTGAATTAATATAGTGTAATGCTTGTATAATCAATTATCGAAGACGACTGATATTGTATTTATCATTCTATGAGCTATAATGTAACATTAAGAAACAATAGTATTTGCCAATATTAACTTATTAATATTTGTCTTAATATTAATATTAATGTTGGCTTACTTATTATATTTAATATATATATTGGTTTTATTTATCCTAAGTCCCTGACATTTCTTGAAAATTATATAATTCGTAAATTAGTTGGTTGTAAAATCAAAAAATAAAAAGCAAAATACATACCAAATGGCTGACTTTGTGCATCCTGATTGTAGGGAACTAATCGCATATCTGGTAAAAAATCTGTAAAGTACAATATTGTTTATTAAGCATCTCACTATTGTAAATTATGAAACATAGCTGTGTAATTGTGTAAGATTATGAAATTTAGATTTGAAACACCCAATAATGTAAGCATGCAAATGTGTAATTGAATTCATCATAAAATTAATTTCTTCTGTATATAGACAATGCATGTATGCATAAAAACTTTTTACAACATGTAAATGTCAAACATGTTATAATCTGGGTTTAATATTGTGCACATCCACCGATGATAGCAGTTGAGTGTCTCAAATCTTTTACATGGCAATAAAGCTGCCAATATCTGTACAGCCTCTTGGCTAATTTTAATCATCTCATTTTGAAGTATACATTCGCCCTGCAAACGTTGTACTTTTTGCCTCCAGCTGACGTCTTTGTAGTTATCAGCCTACTAATTACATAATTCTCTTTAATCTTTACACAAATAAAAAGCAAGGAATTAATACCTTTTCTCTGTAGATTATCTTCAGGTTTGTAAACTGGTTCACTAGGCAAATATGTTCTATATCCTGTTTCCGAATCCACATCAAGAGTATAATCCAATGGTTCATGTTTAGTATCTATATGATTAATGTCAGCTGTACAGTCTAATGGTTCCTCCTCATTGCTTTCTGTATCTATACTTCTGCAGTCATTGTTCTGTGTAGGATGCCTCTCTTGAACATTGTAAGCTGAATCAGAGGTAGAATCTTGATGATAGCATGCATCACTGATTGTATTAGTTTCTATTAATTCTTTGTTATGTAATTCTCCGTTTGAAGATGCATCCTGTTTCTCAGCTTGTTGATCCTCTTGCATTAATTGTTTTGAAGTTTCACAAGTGGAAACATTTAAATCAGACACAGTAGAATTAATACTGCTCTTTTTTGAGCTGAATAGCTGATCCAATTGTACATTTTCTGTTAGAGATTCCTCAAGTTTCTACGATTCAGACAGTAGTTAATTTTATTGCACAATTAAAATGTTACATTTCAATTAACATACATACCTCTTCAGTTTCTGTGGTTAAACCTTTAATTTGTAAGGTTTCTGCTACCTTTAAAAAACTTGCTATGTCTTCCTGTTTAATATTAACTTCTCCTTGGTACATAAAGTGAAGCATCGCTGACAAATCACGGTAATTGACATCTTTTAGAATCACGATTGGATGTTTACAAGAATTTCCCTATATTATCGCAAGAATTTTAATACCATAGCAGTAACAATAATAAATGATAATAAACAAAAAGAAACAAACCTTGAAGAGATCTCTGAAGTACGTACTACAAACTGATAATATTAATTTATGTGCACGTAATATTTGACCCTCTGCTGCTAATGTTACATCGACTAACTGTTCATCGGTTAATAACGTATATAATCCAGATGATAAATTTCTTGGAAAACTATTCCAAACTAGCGAAAACTGTTCTCCAGACATTGTTTCTCTAAAAAGAAATTTTTAAATGAATGGAAAAACAGAAATCAGCAGCACAAAATTGGTACTTATATATTTTAACAGTTTGTACATATTATGTATAAATGGTTAACTCATATTTTATCTTAAGCAATGTGATTCATATTAATAGAGTTTCTTTATTTCTACTGTACACCACATTGAATATTAATGTTTATGCAGTAGTTGGATACTTTATGAAATTGTTTATATTTAAAAATGATAAAGGTTCATTATTATGAAAAGATAAACTAGTAATGAAGGAATAATAAATGTTATAATTAATTTAAAAAGTTAACCTTTATTAAAACGCAATTTAAGGTCTGACGAAAATAATCCAGTGGACGCTGTAGTTCGATCGTTATGTAAACAATACAATTTTAATAACTACAATTCGTATAGCACTTGAAAAATCAATTTAATTTCATTGTCACCACTTTCTTTTCAATTTTTGTGGAACTACAAAGAAACGTTTCATTGGTTTCCAAACAGTTATATCAAATTCCAAATTATACAATTTGTAGTTTACAAAACAAATATTTCACGAATCAAAGCGTGTTTAGAGCGGTATAAGATGGGCGAACATATGAATTATTCGAGATAAATTATCGCGCCTTTCAGTAACGAACAGATTTTAACTATACTAACATTGTTTTACATAAAATATTGGTGTACATAAAGAGATACTTTTTCGATGAATACTTTGCTACGAATGACAATTATTGTTCTTTCTTTAAAACGTAGAATTAGGAAATACACTATATGGTAAATATTGAAACACAACCATTTTTAATTCTGATTTTATAATTACGAAAGTATGTGGGATTATATTTAAAGTTATAAATTGAGAGTAAATCTTGAATTAACCAAGAAAAAGTTAGTGATTCTAGTAAATTATTATTATTTATAGTCATACTTTACATTCGGTTACTAAAATAAATCCATTGATATGAAAAATAATTTCAGTCTAATTTTACATGGAATATTAATGTTACTTAATAATAGAAAATTTATTTCTCAGTGATTACATAGCTATATAATCGCAATATTCAACATATAGTTATATATCGTCTTCATCGTCCTCATTTCTACGCAAACGAAAACATTTCCATAAGCCATAACGAGCTTCCCAGTCTACGAAAAATAAATCTGGTTTATTCCATAGAATATGATGTGCTGCAAAATTATATTGAGATTGAAAAGGCGGATTTAGGTGTGGAGCCCATTGTGCCCTTTCCAACATAATTTTATTTACATACTCGTAAAATACTCTAGCTTTATGAATCCAACACAAGAGAGACATAATTGCTATTACTGTAGCATGCAAGTGATAGGACACTTCGGGATTATCTTTATGTTGTTTTAAAGTTAAGTCTTGTAAGTTCATTATTAGACAAACTATAGCTGCTGCAGTAAATCCACATGGAATTTCTATTGCAATCAAACAAATTGTACAATATGTTGTTTCCAAATTCATACGCGACGAACAATGACTTATAATACTCTTTAAAAGACTGTCATGCAGAATCTCTCGATGAAGTTTGCAGAATAGTTTATCTTCTTTAAAACACTCACTTATCGTGAGATCAAACTGAGTGTCCTCAAAAAATATTTTAGGCGTATCAAAATTGATTTTATTGTCCTTCCGATCAAGTAAATATTGAATAACTCTATTTCCTAATAAACTCGTTATTTTACTTTTTGATCCTATCATTTTCATCAACAATGGGAATATCTTTGGTGTTAAGGTTTTTTCATATAGCGTTACTTCATGCATGTAAGATGTATATTCAAGTGTACTACCAAATTCTAAAATAATTTCATCAGTCGTTCCTTCTTCAACAGCCCACGAACACATATGTTGTATTATGATGAGAAGATGATCGTTGCATATATGTTTGACTATATTTATGATACAAACTTCAAGGCCCTTTTTTAGCATTGCGTATGATATAGAATTATTAAATTGTGTAGTAGTCACACTGATGTAGAAGAGATTTAAAATTCTTTCAATGACTAATACGGTATCATGAGTACCTGGCCAAATATAAATATCTAACAGTTCATACAATATTCTTATGATTTTTCTTGTGTCTTCTATATTCATATTTGGAGCTTCAATTTTGTCCCATATCGCATGAATCATTAATGCTCCACTAAGACCACATTCCAACAGATTGCACATAACTTCAAAACAAAAAGTTTCAAACTCCCAAAGCTTGTCTTCGTAAATCATGTCTAGCACTGCTTCAAGAATTTCCTTAGATTTTTTAGGAATATATATTTGCAATAAACTATTATAACATTCTTTCGCAAGACGACGTTTTTTTCGACGTTTCCATTCGCATAGATTTCCAGTGTAGGACAAATTTTCGTCATAATATAAAAAAAGTTTAAGCGCACATATAATGATAACGTTGGGTTCGTAGGTTAATAATTGCTCTTGTAATGCACTTTTCGTTATAGTTATTATATTGTTCAGTATTTTATCTTGATCCCGTAGCGAATGTGAAAGCATCATGGAACATACTGTATGTAAATATTCTATTTTGCTTTTTAGTTTCTGATCTGAAATCATTACTAAACGGTATTGCACTTAAATGGTAGAACACATTACAAATATAATTTTGGTTAGAAACATATTTTCGGTAAACACAACTGAATATGCAGTTTTTACATAAATCTTCAATATGTAAAAATATACAATATTTGTTTATATTATACAACTATTTTTTTATGAACTTTTATCCTAGCTAAAAAAACAAATTAAATAATTGTACGCGTAGAACTTAAGAAACAATTTTTCATTATATATTTACATGTATGTGCACATAATATTCATAGATATGCATTGAAAAATTTAAATAATTTTGTCTATTTTTTACACAATGAAATCATACACGATTGATGTCATTTCAAATATTGAAATTCAATTATTCCTATAGGAAATAAATATTTCATGTTTCATTACATTTTGTAATATTATAGATAAATTTTTTGATTTAAGATATTTACTATAAAACAATATTTTTACTTAAAATAAGTCTGAAAACCTCCTTAGAACCACAAGTCACCGCCAACATCCTCCTCTGGCTGCGATAACTGTGGTGTCTTTCGTTTGTGTTGAGCGTTATTTTCTGCATCATCGTCGCTTTCGGATACAGCCAAATCATCTTGTATCTTATTTTGCCCTTTGTCATCCCTTGCTGGTAAACCAGCTAGTAAAAAGTCTGAAGGATCATAATTTGGATCGACATCCATACTTTCATCTATAATAAAAATATATACAATTTATAAATTCAATCGACATATCCAATGCACCGTTTTGTATGTTACCAACCTTGCTGAAGCAATTGTTGATCCGCCATATAAAAACCGACATTACCCAATTGAACCATTGCTTCTGCTGCTTGCTGACTGTCATCATCCGCTAATACTACTCCACCTTCTCGAACTTCATTCAGTTCAAGTGTATCGATCTCAGCATTTTCGGACTGTTCATCTGTACCAAATGGAACTTCATCGAATTCGTCTTCACTGGAGAATTGTAGATCTGAAGCGAAATAAATTAATGTTAAAGTTACAGTGAAGTAAGAGAAGTATACAAGTTCGATGACAATTTTGTGATTTCTTTTACCTTCTTCGAGGACATCCTTTTTCTTTGAATTGGCACTTCTACTGCCATCACCTTCCATATCTCCTTCGACATCTACAAAATCAAAGTCGTCCATATTCGACTTTCCAAATGGATTTTCTGGTGAACTCGTTTGACTCTGCACAAAACATCATCAAGTTTATGAAGCTTATTGTGATAATATTGTAAAAGACAAATAAAAATGACAATGAATGTGAAAATAGTACTCCTCGGAACTCTGGTTCTGGAATGGTATAATTTTCTTCCTCTGGACCAAGCCACAAAGGATCCATATCTGCTTGTTCCATTGCTCGTTTTTGTACTAATAGTATGTTATTTTCCAATTGCATTAGGTGTTCATCATACTGCAAGATATTAGTTACGATCAGTACAACAACAAAAATGCAATAATAATAACATATTTTATTATAATTTGATATTAGTGACATTAGTTAGTTGTGATTGTAAAATGCAATTTAATTAAAATGAAATAATCATCAAAGTAAATACTTGTGTAGTTACCTCATCTAATGTTTCTTTGCAAACTTTTACAAGCAACTCTGCTTTGTTTGTATATACAGATTCCTTTCCATTATATATTGTACAATTTTCCAAAATTTGTTCAATATCTCGGTGAAACTCATGCCTATTATGGTACTTATGTGCTGAAATAAAATAATCGAATTTAATAAAATAGCTACAATAAATAAAAACCATTGAATATCAGTGATAGTGCGCATCAACTTACCAGATACTTTTTTGGATATAGTTTCTAAATCCATAGGCCTTTTGATAACAGTGTAGTAATCCTTCACCAATTTTTTATTCACTGGTTTCAAGAATGGCCAAGCTTCTGTCATAGATTTCAATTTGTTATTAACAACATTATCTAAGATGAATGTAAGAGCAACTTGATCGTTATCGTCAAGTAGAGGATTAATTGCTTTCTCTAGTCTCATTAGACGATCTTCCTTTTCACCGAGTCTTTCTACGCATGTTTCCAACATACGTTTAGCTGCCACCGTCAATGAACTTTTCGATCCATTATATAACGTTGAATTTTCCACAATTTGATTAACATCAGCCAAAAATTCTTCTCGACTTTGGTATTTCTTTAATCTCAAGTTCTCACGTATTGTTTGTAAATCCATAGGTTTTTGTATAATTTTATAATAGTCGGGAACAGCCTAATAAAAAAATCGTGAAGTTTATAAATCAATTTTAAACTTGTAAACAATTATACAATAATTGATATAAAAATGTTCCATACACGTGAAACATACTTTAGCATTAACGGGAAATAGGAAAGGCTGAACATCAGGTAAGTCTCGCATTTCGTTAAGTATGCTTTCTAACATTGTAGACATGACAACAACAGGATCAGTTCTACGTCTATTAGCAGGTCGTTGTTGTCGTTTAAGGTAATCACAATGATCGTCTCCAGTAGCTCTTCTTCGTTTTTTCGAATTTACAGCCTCTTTGGGTACTTTCAATAGTAACGTACGTCTCTTCATTTCTTCGGCATGCTGCAATAACACAAAATCATGAATTGATACAATTCTTAACACATTAAGGACCGCACATCTAGAAACTGCGTGTAGAAAACACAAGAAAACTCGTGAGCGGTCCTTAATATGTTAAAATACTTATTAAATAAACATTTTGAACGACGACTAAAAGATAAACAGTTTTTATAGATTAATAGTCGAATAAACATTAAAATTTGATTTATAGAATGAAGTTATACCTTATCTGAATACTTCAATACTGTTTTTATGTGTTATTTATAATTTGAATAAAATGTTGACAACTCTAGTGATACATACATTATTTCAGCACTGACTTTGTTAAAAAGTGATTAAACAAACAACTTACCTTAATCAATTTAGATGATAACTTCACTTTAGTTCCATCTACATTGACGAGATCTTGGTCATCCGTGTTAAGCTGTTTCTCAATTTCTTCTTCTTGTTCCTCTGTCATCGCAACATTCACTGGTGCTGTGGTTATGCTATTTTGATACAAAGGACAAGCTTTATTCGTACGCATGTGGCCTACGTTACCGCAAGCACCACATTTCAATTTAAGATCTGGTTTTAGTTTAGGTTTTTTACGTTTAGAAGGAGAAACTTCAGGTTTAGGATGTTTAGAAGCAGGAGAAGTAGATTGGAAGGAATTACAGAATGGAAGGATACTGTTTGAGGATGTAGTGGTTGGTGTATTGGTATTACTACGGTCGAATATATTATGTGATGACGCGTTGTTTCCCGACATTGGACCACCGAGCATACGTTCACGTTCTTGATTTCGCTTAATTCTACGCAATTGTTCCTGAATTCTTCTTTTCTCTCTCTTCATTTCTTCTTTCTGTGCCTCATCCAGAGTTGCGAATTGCTTAATGAATGCTTCATCTTTTGAGTTTCTAATTTTTATATATGTATCTATCACCGCTGGCTTTCTAACCAATTCTACCCTTGTAAATTCTTTTCCCTCTGGATTTCTAAATGTCCGATAAATCTTAAGAACCCTACCCTGCTGCGCGTTAAAGTTATTTACAGGACTGTCTTCTTCGTCATCTTTCTTTTTCTCCTTACTCTTCTTATCTTGCTCTTGCATTTCGCCCATTAGCATCTTTCGCAACTCGTGCCTCTGTTGCTCTTCTCGTTCAAGAGATAGTTGGGTGCTCGTTTTCTTATTGGAAAGCATATTTTCTATATTCTTGCCCATTTCCTCAATTTCGGAACTATCTTCTTCCGAACTCTCGCCTTCGTCAGTACTCAAAACTTCATTGGAGGACAATACGCGATTTTGTAGGTCGAAAATTCTTTGACATTCTTCTTTGTATCTCTCTTGATGCTCGGCAATAGAAAATCGATTACCTCGCGAGAATTTCGTCATTCCCTCCTCTCCAGCTTTAGCTTTTTCCGTGGACAATGTTCTAACTACGTCTATAACCTCCCATCGCGATAATTTTTTAATTTCTTCCTCGGGAACACCAAATTTACGAAGCAATGCTTTGGCATTATTTAACGATAGTCTTCGTAAATCAGCATCAGTTCCAGTTACAGTTCTTTTTGGTTGAGCTTCTTGTTCTTCCTAATTTATTTTAAGAAAGGAACGTATGAATTATAAGAACAAAGGGTGTAATTTCATTGATGTTATGAGCACCTGCTACACAATCATTCTAGTACATTTACCTTACTAATTGTTGGTTTATTTGGAACTCTGACATAAGAGAATCCTTCGCCACATCCTGTTGGATCTGCTGGTCCTGCCAATTGTAACAAGCACTTGCCTTTCATAGCCTGAATGTATGCTCGTGTTGTATTCCAAGGTGCAACTTTAACTTCGTCATCCATTTTTAATTGCATCTCCTCGTCGTCGTCATCTTGAGGAGTAAAAAGAAACTTTTCGCCATAACCAGCATCTTTTAATCGTTGTTCCGCCGCAATCATACTAAAGTAAGCGCAACACTGTTCTGGAGATACCATTGCTCTAATCTCTTCTTCGGTTGGTAATCTAAAGTCCGGCTTTATAACCCACCAATTAGAGTCCATGCCTAATGCAAAAACTTTCAATATTTATATCAATTTATTAGATTATGTTTGTGCAAATTTTGTCGTCATATGTAAATACCTGTTCTTTTGAAATCGGCACATAACTTCAAGCGTTTTCTAATACTGCTTTCGCTGTGCGATGGAAATGCTTTTTTAATGTCATCCATTTTGATACGTCGAGGTGTATCTGTAGACTTCCAAAATAATCTGTATATAAAAACTTGTAAGAAGTCCCTCACAAAATTATTGGCTCTCTTAGAATTGGGACCCGGTACTTCATACAGCGGGCACTCTTGTCCCGCAACGAATATGGCATCCACTTCTCTGACATAATATTGCTGCCTATATGTGAGAGTATATTTCATTAAATGCCATCTTACCACACCATTCGTGTTAGAATACTAAAAAACAGTAACAACAAATTTTCTTAAATCCTATCACTTTACCTTGTCCTGATAACTAGGAAGTCCGTCTCTGGTATTCTATGTTCGTAGATCGGTGCTCTGTACATGTTGTTTTCAATCGCTTGTATACTTTGACCAGGTGTAAGAATTCCTAAGAATGGACTGGTATGCGCATAAGCAGTTTCACCGTATTTATATTTTTGTGGACCCTGGTCTTTTCCGGCCTTTCTTTTATAATAATTTTTTACCTTAGAGCACATTCCTACTTGGTTCATTAATGGAGGATGCTCTTCCGAGAATTCGACGAGTACTAGTTCCCCATCTTTACCAGTCAAATCTTCAGGAGTTCTCATAAAAAAGACGTCCCCTCCGCCAGATGCAATTCTTTCTTGCTCCCTTTGCTAAAGTATAAATATTAATTTTCGTATATCAAGTATAGCAGTATATCTTTATCAAGTATATCAATAAAAAATAATACATACTTTAGCTTTCTTTTTTATATGTTTCAATAACGGCAAAACAGAATGAGGTCCAGGATGCGCGAGTGGACCATGACTAAACCTTCTTAATGGTGGTCTATGGAAATTTCGAAGTCGCATGGGTCCCATATGAGTTTGAACAAATGGTACACGTAATTCTACTACTGGTGTACTGTGTTGTATTAAATTTCCACCTCCAACTTTCAACCGTAACGTTGTTTCTGAGGATCGTGGCATGTAGTATCTAAAAATAACAAATCAACAAACTTTTGTTCTAATACAATTAATATTACCTTTATGATTCCAAAATCAACTTACGTATCGTTCGAAATATTAAATGGATCTCTGTCGGGTGATTTTGGTGGTGGTGGTGGAGTATCTTCTTCTAAAACATTAATAACTCCAGCTTTTCCTAATAATAATTTACTTTTTTTAACATGTGGGTGGGGTATTTTCACTTTCGGTTGAGGTCCATTATCTTTATGAAGCAATGCTGGATCTATGTCATCAGGAATACCAAGAACAATGTTTTCATCGTTTGGATCCAAAGTAAGAATTTTAGGTTTTGGAATCTTCTTCATGTTTTCTGGATCCCAAATTACTTCTTCCTCCCAAAGCCCATATACTAATTCTTCATTCTCTACAGGGAAAATGGAATACCAAGTATCATCATAATTCTCTTCCCGTGTTTGTTGTTGATTTCCCTTATTCATATTCCTGTTAACAAGGCGAAGATTTTTAGTTCTCGATAAAATTTTTGAATAAAAATAATACTTTCTTGTTTGTATTTCTTGTCTAATGTATTTCTTACATTTTATTCTTTTGTGACTGCATGTGTAATGGAGTTGTAATTTGTGACGTAGCAAGTCTAACATTTGATGCAACAGGAACAGGTGTACCTTTCCCTGGTTGACTAAATGCTTGAGCAGTTCTGTTTCCACTAGATGGAACCCACCCAGCTGCATTGTTTTTACTATTTAATTTTTGCAACACCTTCAAAGATATTTACCGATTTTTTAACATGGTAATCATAATCATTAATTATTATTCAATTTTCATTTTATTCAACACTGGTTTGATTTATCTCATACTAAAATAGCATTACATTACTTACTTTATGCTTTATGTCATCGCCATTCCATATAACATCATCTTCCCAATGTAACTGGGATACCATTAAAAATGCATCATCAGAAAATTCCTCAGTATTTCCTTTATTGTTCTGTTCATCGGTCTATTAGAAACATAATAACAGTATTTTCTATGATATTTCTGAAGCATTCAAATTTAAATTTAAATCTATAAACTATATATATAACAAACATATGTGTAAGTACCTTATCTGCAATCTTAAATCCATAATTAAATCCATCACCAGTCTCTGGAACTTGAAGCATATCATACCAAAGCTGTGCAGGTCCAAACCGCCAATCCGCTACTTTTGGTCCCATGTCTCCATTTTCTCCACTTTCACCTGTTTTACCATGTTGTTCTTTATCTTCTACTGGTAATAGTAATTTAGTTTCATCATCAGATCGACACATATCTGGAGTTGGATCTGGACCATATTGCATCACCCATCCCTAACATAAGCATTATTTGGTAAAACATGAAACTATTATTATTTTAAAATGAAGTCATATATTATATACTACACATACTTTAAATTTTGGTTTCCTATCATCTTGATCAGATCCAGAATCAGAATCTCTAAGATCATGGTGCCGCTTCTTTTTACGTCGCTTTTTAACACCTCTCCATATTTGTGGAAGACTGCTAGGTTTTCCTGGACCAAATAATCTTGAAAATCGCAATACTTTATTAGTACGAAAATCAGGAAATAATTCTGTGACATCAACATTGGCATATTTAGATGGCAGCATAGAAGCAAGAGGTGTTTCTAATTTTCTCTGACGGGCAGCTTCTGCCTCTTCTGCGGTAAGCGCTTCCTTTTCCTCAGGCACTGGTGGAGGTGGCATTAATTGTGTATCAGATTTATTAACAACTTCTTCATCATCAGCATCATAATCGTTCTCTTTTTCACTTCTTCGTTCGAATGGATCTTGTTTATCTATCAATAAAGATGACATTTAGAAATAGATTGACAAATGTATTACATTTGTCACATTAAGTGCATATCATACTTACTACTTTCTTCATTTATATCATCTGCTAATTCATTTATATCAGAGAAATCAAAAGCATTAGGTGACTTTTCTATGTAATTTATATCTTTATCAGTGTAGGTTTGATTTTTTTCTTCATGTTTACTGTCATCCTCATCATCCTTTTCATCGTTAGCATTGTCATTTGGCATCATTTCGCGGATAAACGAACTCAAACCAAGACGACTAAGCGATGCTAAGTGTTGCTTTGCCTCTGGATCAAGAATATCATCCTCCAGTTGACCATTGTCATCGATGTTCCCAAACAAGAAGCCAGTCATATTAATTGCGGACATTATATCTTTATCACTTTCATCCTCAGAATCAGCCATTTTTATGAGTAAAAAGTTCGACGGATTGATATCACGTTAATCTGTCAAAAATGATCGATTCCCTGACCACACAGTAAGTTTATAGACAATACATATCAATTTCACACTCTCATTAACAAAAATAGCAAAATATCACACATATGTAAATTTATTTACTGTTTTCTATATACATAACTTTTTAATATTTACAGTAAGGATTCTTATTATGTACAAATCACTGTTACAGACAAAATTATCGTAAGTTACGTTTTGTTTACGTAAAGCTTGGTAAAGTTATTTCATGAAGTGTTCGCCATGTTCTCAAAGATAGCATTATATAGATAGTAAAGTGAATGTACATGAATGTTCTTCAGATGTGTCTATTCACAAAGGGATTTACTAGTAGGTGAACTGCTAGATAGTTTTTCCCGTTTTTCAGGCACAATAATGAAAAAAACATATAATAATTATGCATTTCGTAATCAGGGGAAGTAAATCTATCGTCTCGTCAAGCGTTTTTTGGAAAAAATTGAAAAAAAAAATGTTTTGTCTTTGAACGTATTTTTAGCATATTTCAAAAGTGAAATTGCAAAATGTGTAACTATCCCCCACAGCGGAATTTTATAAGGAACAGTTTAAAAAAAAATCAGCCGGAAAGGTCGCTTCCTCGCCTCATAAAATGACAATGGTGTTGTCGTTATGAAATCGAGAAGACTGATGCGCTTGCACCAGCTTGCACTCAGTGTTGTAAGATGCGAAGATTCCCGACTGCAGCACCGCCTGCGGTGGAGTAAGGAATCTCAGCTTATGAAATCTCTGCTCTATAGAATAATATTCTTTGGTAGTTTCGTGCTATGCAAGTTGTGAAGAATTGGAGATTTCTACTTGAGCGCTCCGCTTGTACATTGTTGGTACTAAATTACGCGGGCCTTTTTGCGGGATACCGTAACCACGGTGTAAGAAAGAACTGTCATTCATAGTGCTGTGTGAGTGCGTGTGGTCGATTGTGTGCCCATCGGTATAAAGTAAAAAATTAAACCTTCACTTCATAAGCCCTATCGCTTCATCATATCATACTGTTTATTCACTTTTGCATTACATATTGTATATACCTATACATATACAGGGTGTTCCAGCCTTAGTGATAAGACGTTCCAACTCCAAAACTATCGACTGAATGCAAAATTTCAAATATGGAAATTGCATGGTAAGCAATTGCATCCCATGCAAGGGATTTTTGTTAAGTTTATTATATAACAAGATATGATAGTCAAGTTTCGTTTTTCAACTATATATTTTTTTTTTATACCATGCGATAGTACTTTTCAAGACGAATTCATTAAACTTTAATGTATTTACCCGATTTTTATTAGTTTTCAAGCTATAACGTTTCAAAGTTTGCTAATTTTCAAGGAAAAATCTTGGTTCGGCCCTGGGCGGTCCCATTAATGTAGTAAGCACCATGGGGTTCGTGAAATCGACACGGAGGGTCTCGCTTGGGATTTCAGGCCTAAGGAAGGAAAACAGGAAAAGTATTACCTACCTAGGAAATTCTCGGCGGTACAAGTAATGCATCAGTAGCGGTCAATATTTTTCCCGTTTTCCTTCCTTGGGCCTGGAATCGCAAGCGAGGCCCTCCGTATCGATTTCAAGAACCCCACGGTGCTTACTGCATCAATGGGACCGAACCAAGATTTTTCCTTGAAAATTAGCAAACTTTGAAGCGTTATAGCTTGAAAACTAATAAAAATCGGGTAAATACATTAAAGCTTAATGAATTCGTCTTGAAAAGTACTATCGCATGGTATCAAAAAGTTTTAATTAATTAATTAATTGTTATTTGTGGAATGTAATGATAGTATGTAAGAAATAGCTGGATACATTGACAGTCGCCCCATGCCGAGGTGACGAAAACGTGGGCCAGGCGCGCATGGCGATAGGGCGCGACGCTGCGACGCCAGGCCCGGTCATAAACAAGGTCAAAGGCACTTTAAGAACCTTCATTGACAAGGCTACGCAGAGACTTTCCCAGGCCCGGAAAGTCACTTCTTGGCCAGCATTGGCCAGCTATCGTCGTATAGAGAACTCCACGAATAAAATCTCACTGTTAATGAATACTCGGCGTTTTGTACCTTGCGTTTATTTAATCGTCTTACAAGTATGCAATGTAAAAAATATTGTATAATAAAAAAGGTAAAACGTTTATGAACATTATTTTTGACTAAACGTAATTACGTAAGAAAAAGCACACTAACAAAGCGAAGGCACGGATGTTGCAATCGCTTTTGCAACGACACCCTATGGGGGTCGTAGTACGCATGTAGTACTGCAAAACCATTTTGACTTTTTTCAGAATGGATGTTTGTTTTCGATGTACAATAAAAGCATCTAGCAAGGTTCGTTGAATGGATTGGTAGAGTATTAAATTGTAACGCTGCTTGACCCCGGGTACGAATCCCGATTGATGTATTTTTTTTTTATTTTAATTTTCTATCAGAAATACACTTCTTGGATATCACGTACTGTATACTGCATATTATATATGACCTTACGCCTATTTTAAGGTTGAAATTAATTTTTTAACGTAACATATCATACCGGAATACCTACTTGCTGTAGGTGAGTAAGTCTTTACAACGATTTTTATGTTTGGTCCTAAATTTATTTCGTTTTATCGTGACAGTTATATGAAGGAAGGTTTGAAAGTTTGAAAATGGATAGTGATTCTGTGCGTACAAGTTGTTTTGAAGAAATAGTTATCGATAGCAGAGAATCCAAGCGTAAAGAGGATAGAATGTGTGTAATGTTTTCTCTTTCTCTGGCGTGTGTATTTTCCGGAATACTACTGTTAGTTGTAGATATACGTTCCATTCGTTCGATTTTACTAGTGTTAAAATGAGAAAGCATGTTATCTTCTATCATTCTCCAAAGTATAACACCCGTGCTCGAGCGATAACTTTATACACTGCTGGACAAAATTGAGGGATCACTAAAATTTTTCGAAAATTTTGGTCATATTCAAGTGACTATATCTTCGCGAAGAATGGTCATAAAAAATATTTGGAAATCCCATTTTGTAGACCGAAATCTCTAGTTTTCGAATCAGGAGATCACCATTTTTTTTGTCTGGCCATGTCACTTTTTTTTTTTAAATGAAGTACAACGAAGGAATGTTGAAACATTTTCGTTAACTTTGAAGGTATGCGCTGTATGAAAAAAATTTTTCTTGGAAAATTCAATTAAATGGTATTATAGAGTAAACTTTTCTCTTTATTTTCGTTTTTTTTTTTTTTTGGTTTTGCCATACAACTTTTATTGGCCGAGTTCTTTATGATTATGTGAAAACGGATACTTTTCACTTTGAACGCCTATAACTCATGAATACATGATCGTAGAAAAATTTCAATGAATGTTTTGAACAGCTGAGAAACTTTCCTTTAAAAGGCTTTTGTTCCCAATTTGATGACATTTTTTTTTAATCGCATATAATCCATTTCAAAATGACCTAAAAATTTGCATATCTACCACTTTTCAGAAAACATGACGCCATTTCAGTAAAAATCAAGGAATCATACAAGTGCCTACATTATTTTTGAGTTAAGAGTGCCCACAAACTCTATGCAAAAGGCCGAACTCATCTGATTTTTTTTACCTTATGTCCTCGATGGCGAAACATGCGACATGATCTGAAAACTTGAGAAGAGATCACTTGTTTTACGTTACGTTTCCGTCTCATTCAAAACGATTTTTTTGTTCTTGCAGCGTCTTAATGGTTATTGCGTGTTTTCTTTTCTTAAATCAATGTCATTTTAACGTACAAAAAGAAGGTCTAAAAAATTAAAGAAAAAACTTTGTTCAATCTCTTTACAATGACAAAAACGATAAAGTACCGCGACACTGTATAATACAATGTAAAATTTGGTGATTTCTAACTATGCGCAGCTAAAATGCTGTGTTCAACAGTGCGGACGTTCAGATCCTAATGACAATTCATGTAAAGTGACTGCTCCACACTTTAGCGGTGACATAAAGAAGTTAAATAGCATATCATCCACAAACTGAGGCTGTTTAAAAATTTGCCTTGATGTCCGCGGCCTGGAAGTCAAATGCTTGGCGTAGCCAGCTAAGGCATTCTCAGATCATCAAGACCCACACTTTCTCTCTCGCAGGCTTTTACATAATTTGTCAATTTAAAACTTTTACGATATGAGTACATTTCCATTTTATTGTGTTTTAAATTATTTCTAAGGACACTCATTGACGCAGATATCTCTCCTCTCACAGGCTTTTGGATAATTTTTCAGTTTAAAACGCTGACAATATGAGTACATTTTCACTATTTTACATTTTAAAATAATGTTTATTCGTCAAAACCTTGACCTTGCCTGGCCACGCCAAGCATTTGACTTCCAGCCCACAGACATCTAGGTAAATGTCTAAACAGTCTCAGTTTGTGGTTGATACACTATTTAGCTTCTTCATTTCACCGCCAAAATGCGACGCAGTCAGTTTACATGAGTTGTCATTAGGGTCTGAAAGTCTGCACTGTTGAACACAGCATTTTAGCTGCGCATAGTTGGAAAGCACCGAATTTGATATTATGTTACACAGTGTCACCTTGCGCTTTACTGGAAAGGACTTTCATGTACTGGCAGCTCATTTTGATTTCACATCTTTTTCCACTTTCTTGTACTTTTTTATGGGGATCTTTTATTTTTCTATGATAACTTCTTGAATCCTTGAAGCCTCCACTTTTTCATGTACTTGGCATAATTTTTTTACTTTTTTGAAGTTTTTTATGGGGATCTCACTTCTTTTTACAAAGATAATTTGTATAGTGAATGACTTCAAATAATAGAAAATGTGTCAATTTATTAAAAAAAAAATTTAATCAGTTTATCAGTAACATTTAAATGCAACATGACTTTCTGTCATGTGTCGTGCATATTTTTGAGAACTTAAAGGACTAAGTCTGACCTTTCTTTTTCTATATTATTGTAATACAATAAATTATCTATTACAAATAGTGGATCTCTGTTCATTTTCTCATTTTCTCATTATTTAAATTTGTTACAAGACTTTTTGCCATGCGTTCTGTGAACGTATGAACTGTATCCTAATACAATAAATTGTGCGTTAGAAATAGTTGATCTCTCTATTCATTTCTCATTTCTTCTTTAATAAATTTCTTGCAATGAAACTACCTGCAATGCGTTCCGCGTACTTTTAAAACCTTAAAGGATTCAAACTGATCTCCCATTTTCTATATTATTGTAATCACTTTATCAGTAACATTTAAATTTCTGGGAACAAGACTTTCTGTCATGTGTCGTGGGTACTTTTGAGAACTTAAAGGACTAAGTCTGACTTCTCTTTTTCTATATTATTGTAATACAATAAATTATCTATTACAAATAGTGGATCTCTGTTCATTTTCTCATTTTCTCATTATTTAAATTTGTTACAAGACTTTTTGCCATGCGTTCTGTGAACGTATGAACTGTATCCTAATACAATAAATTGTGCGTTAGAAATGGTTGATATCTCTATTCATTTCTCATTTCTTCTTTAATAAATTTCTTGCAATGAGACTTCCTGCAATGCGTTCTGCAAAAGCACACAGAACGCATGTCAGAAAGTCTTGTTGCAAGAAACCAAATGTCACAAATCCAAACTGACAGGTTATACAGGTTAGGAATGGTTAGAAATGAACGAGCGGCATGAGTGCCAGCCATATTACAATTCCGACCGACGAGCCTTGCCGACTGATCCGAGAGTCGACGAATCGACGAATGGCCTTAGCTTCTATTGGCTAAGTGTTGACGAAAAATTTCTTGTCAAAAGAAAAGAAAAATGCTGCAGTTTTTGACACATTCATGATATGATATTACGATATCTTTGTCGTTCGTGGACCGATTTTATTGATTTTGGTTTTATTCGAAAGCTTATATGTGCAGGTATAATAACCAGCTGAGATGTCGATTCTAAGTTTACATGCGGCTCCAGCCGAGCGCGAACATAGAAAGAGACAGAGAGAGGAGAGAGAGAGATCCAAGGCACGAAGCTAGGAACCAAAATACATCGGCGGGCGCGAGACAATACTAATGTAACAATAAAACTTTTTTATTTATTAATTTTTTTAAATCTAACTTTTTCCAATGTATTTATAAGATTTTTATGATTACAATGAGACCAAACACGATATACATACAGCAAAACAGGAAAGTATTCGGCTATTTGTTTGTATTTTATATTTCATATTACCTCTTATATCAAAATTTTTTTTTATAAATTATACAAGATGTTCGGCAACCGAACAAAGTATAAAATAAGAATAAAAAAAATGCACAGCAGCTTGGGATCGAATTAGCGATATTTTATGTACGATACTACGATCAGTGATACCAGCCAGGCCAAGTTTTTTCGTCCATGTACTGTCAGGATGACCGTCAACAGGGTCGTATCCAGGGTAACAGGTGTGGGATGCTATGGCTATTGTGGCTATGAGCGCGAAATCATGAATATATTTGTCCTTATTATTTATATATTGTCTTTATATATTGTCCTACATTTGTCCATAAATTATGAATATATTTGTAAAATTTTGCAGGGGTAATTAAGATACACCTTTTTAGTTGTGCGTATACTTCATTGATGCTATGTTCGCTGCGCGTGCGCGAAAAAACCCGGCCCGACTACGATACCTGCGAACCAAGTCGAAAAGCGTGGTTAGATGGTCGACACGGTAACAGAAAGGAAGACGACGACAGCGCTGCGGTGGAAAGCACGATATTGAGGCAGCCATGTTGGCATATGAATCGTCTCAATCGTAGCGACACCACCAATGTAATTTTATGAGGCGAGGAAGCAACCTTTTTGGCTGACTTTTTCTTCAAACTGTTCCTTGTAAAATGCTGTTGCGGAGGACAGTTACAGATTTTTGGAAAAAGACCCACAAAAAATGTCTTGTCTTTAAACGTATTTTTAGCACGTTTCAAAAGCGAATTGCAAAATGTGTAACTGTCTCCCGCAACGGTATTTTATAAGGAACAGTTTGAAAAAAAAATCAGCCAGAAAGGTTGCTTCCTCGCCTCATAAAATTACACTAACTGTTTGGAAAATTACAAATGTTTGACATCATTCTGTCTTTGTCTCTCCTCCGATTGTTGTATCTCCCTCTCTGTCACAGCATCATTAGAGAGACAAGGATCTATTTATCTTTGTCCCAGAGCTTCCTACTTTTTCCGCAATTGTCGCTGAAGTCAACTCGGAGTTTGGCTGGGTCTCCTCGTGATTCCATAATTTTTATAAGATAAAGATAAAGATAATTTTTATAAGATAAAGTATGCCAAAAATAAATGTGTTTTCAAATAATCATACGTATGTTTACTATGTGTAAATATTTGGGTAAATAATACATGACCCAATAGAATATCATTGGACCACTATATCCCTAGCCAGGGGTGTATCGTAGGTTTGAGGAAAGTGTGTTGATAAATGTGTTTTAAATATATTTCATATTTG